TTATTAATTTACAGAAGAGAATTGGCCCATCATTGCCTTCAACAAATCTCCTTGGGTGGCCTGCAGAATGATACGCATGCCTGAATACTAACAGGAAATATAGTAATTATCAGGGGCAAATTTTTCATCGTACTTTTCATTTAAAAGAGAGTTTTGGTTGTTGTTGTTTTTTTTAATCTATTACTGTTGTTATTATTGCTTTTATTTTTGAAAGAATTCTATTGCTAAACTTATTTTCTAACCCTAGTGTAAACACACTAAAAATAACAAAAAACATTCAAGTAACTATTGGTTGTTTCTCTGTTTTTATTTGATAATGAAAATAAATATCCATAAACCTAGAATCAATGACAATAGTGATTTTGGAAATAATTTTCAAGGTAAACAATATGTTGATTTCACAGACAAAATAAAAATGTGTTTTGATGGGGGAAATGGTCATGACAATAATACCATCTTCATTCCATTCTGAATGTTATCGAAAGATTAGTGTGGCCACGTTGCATTTCTCAGATGTACGATATTGACAATTTTGTTGTGGACACACAATAATACTACCCTTTACTAAATTTTCAAGACAGAAAACAAATAGTTTGTCATCATTGCAAAGCTTGAATGAATGTATTTTAACTTGAGCCGTATGTTTGCAATAAGGAGAGATAAACTGGGAATGTGCTCTTTTCAATTCCATCTTCTTTATACGCAGCTGTCTCAAACTTCCTCAAACATGCCAGACTGTTTTCCCCTCCGTAAATCAAGGACAGTGAGGAGGACGAGGTGTGATTGCTTTCACACCCAGGAAATAATCACACCAGACCTGCCACAGCTCTGATTAAGACTGATAAATATCGACAAGCAGTTAATGAGATGTCAGGCAGGAACAAGGCCCTCCCCTTCATGCCTCCTGATGACACCAATGGAGAAGAAAAATGACCTCGACGTGGCAATGTCATGAGCGTATTTCATAAGTGCAAAGCACAAGCTATTAATTACCTTTAGTTGGTGAGCAAGATTATCGATGGTGCAGCTGAGTTATCAAATAAATAGTGGCCAGCAGATGTTTGTTGGCATATTATTACTTTTAATTACGTCAGCTAAACTGAGAATGATTATTGTTCATTTTTGTTCAGCACAATTATATTTTTCCATCAACAGGTTCAGGCAGACATGTAGTCAACAAAAGGCTCCTGCAGGCAGGTCAATTAGCTGATTAAAAGATTATCTTAAATGTTTGTTTCCTATTGACTTTGCTGCTTGCACAACTCAGCGCCAGTCATTGATTGTAGAGTTTAAAACCTATTGATACAATTCAAATAGGTACAGATTAACATTCCCATAGAGATATAATTTATGTTTTTGGTAAGCATAATGACAAAGCACTGTTTTTTTCTGTAAAGTAAACATTCCTGAAGCCTTTTGCAAACACTCCAGAGCATAAAAAGCCCACAAAGAAACATAAGCCTGCTTGATGTCTGCTGAACTCTGATGAGGACACAAGCTCAGCAGGGGGCTGGAAGAGAGAAAATTAATTATCTCACTAAACATTATGTATGCATTACTGTATGTCTGAGCTCTGTTTTCCCGAGTAGCAGGCCTACGTCAGTGCGGTTTCATGCTGGCCATGTGATTTATGCATTACGGTGATGGTATTAACTATGTTTACAGTAAATTAAGGCTTTATCTATCTTAACTGCAGCCACGAGGACATCTTATCTTCCCACAGCAGCATTTTGATGTGCTTGTTCACTGGCATAAGCCGTACCTGAAGGCTACCATACCTCTCACATGTGATAAATTCCCACCAACTGTCCAGCTTTGACCGTGAACTTCAGGTCACCCCATGGTTCCCGGGAGCAGCAGTCCTGTCAAATATTGTTTCCCTGGCAGACATACTCAACCCATCAGACAAAAAAGACCATGCAGCTGCACCCAAACACTTAACAATAGGATGCTTGTTCTGGGGCAGAAAAGGTCGGGTACCCTTTTTGGGGAAGGGGGCGATGTGAGCGGGTGGTCAAATATTTCAGGGGATTTTCACTAGGATAATACTTTGTGATGTTCCTTTGAATGGAAGAGATTGTCTGCAGATTGTGAGACCATTTGATGAAGTGAAAAACTCACTGTTCCACTAAAGAAATATTTATTTACTGTATATAGCTTTTAAAGATTGAGCATTCCTATGTTCTGCACAAAACACTTATGACTACTAACAGTATTTAAGAAAAGTGCTAACCAAGACCTTAAAAGAATGAAAGACTTATTTTATTTCTTAACTTTTCTATTCATTTATTTATAGTCATGACTGGCTAAACGGCCAAGACAAATAAACGGAGAAACATTCCAAAATCGGTGCAACATAATTAATGTATTGTTAATGTAACAGGAATTAATCAAATGCCAAAAACCGTGGGATGTGAAAATCAGTTCAATCAGGTCTGTAAGTGAGTGCATGTGTTGGAAAGATGGTGAGGAGGAGTTGAAGACAAGTATAAAAAAGGAGAGAAAAAAACAGAAGCATGGCGTTGTGAGAAAGTCTGGATTAAGATAATCAAATGGGAAATATATTAGCAGTGTCATAATGGACAGCAACATAATGCAACAGCAACAAGATGTGATGTATGACACATTGAAACGGACACTTCACAGGTGACCATTGGAAATGCAGTTTAAAGAAATGACAGATTTTGAAACTCTTATAAGCAAAACTCTGAGATGATTCATATCGTGCATATTGCTTATTTTTTGGAGTATTTTTTGTTTGTGTGTGTGTTTCGTCAGACCCTTAACTAAAGAAAAAAACAAAGGTACAGACAAACACACACACGGACACACACACACACACACACACACACACACACACACACAGAGACACAGACATACTTCTTTGTTGAAAGTATTTGCCAATTAGCAAGTTGCGGGGTTGGAGTGGTAATTAGGCTTTCCAGTCGGCTGGTGTCTGTGTACAGCTTAGCTGAGACAGGTCCGAAGCTAAACGCCTCCCTATTTGTCCAGCAATTATGTCAGGTCCCCGTGTCACAGTACAGACGTGACCAATTAGCTGTGCCAAGCTAAAGTGAAAGAAAGGGATTATGGCAGTAGAGATGGGAAAGGATGAAAAAGCAGACAGAACTCTTGCATGGGAGAGTTGGTTGGGAGTGTAAAATAAGGGGGAGAGTAAGACATAATCTGTAGGGACTAAGAGAGAATAGAGAGAGAGAGAAAGTTTTGCTTTGGGAAGGAGTGGGTAAGGAGGGTATAAGTAAGCGGATATCTTTTTTTTTCCTATTGCTACATTATCATGTTTTGCATTGATCCTCGTCCTGACTGACATGTGGCTAAGACATGCAAATAGCAATATTTATGTTAATGCCGCCTCACTGACCAAGTACGAATAAGAACTTTATCTTTATTGGCGTCACAATAATTCTCCCTTACATTTTATGACATATTTGGATGAAACAGGCCTGCATACAATCAATATTCTCACTGCTTGGAGTAATGTGAGACTATGTCAATGGCTGTAGGAAAGTAAACAGTGCTCTAGTTCATCTTGGCATTGGTCCATATTTATACTACGTTTTTGATACTGAAGGAGAACCCTCTATCTGAGCTAATGAAAATATCTCAAAACTATGATATGGTCTACGCTCTGTCTCAGGATACATACAGTAGCCCTGGTTAATTTTCTTGACAGTGGATTTTGAAGTTTCCTCTGAAAAAAAATGGAAAAAATAGAAATTGGTTACGACACCAAATGACAGTAGAAGGTAGAACAAAATTAGTCTCCATGAAAGGCTGCTGGACCTTTAATATGTATCAAGTGAGTCCATCATCTGACAACAGCAGTGGAAAACAAGAAGCCGTCAAAGTTGGGGAGATCTGAGAATTTATTCTGCCTGTTGTAACATAATAAAGAACCCACATAATCCTCTGATGAAACTTCTCAGAGCGCATCTAGGGGGGAGGGTTTTGAAAATATCTGCTCTACCCAGACACCGAGACCACCCGATCCAAGGCTCTATATTTAATTGGACAGGGAAAGGGAGAAGAGGGGAGCCAGGGGACAAGGCGAGGAGCGGATGAGGTAGAATCTATGATCTGAGCATCTTCCCTTTTTTTGCTGGAAAAACAAGGCTGTTGGATCAGTGCCTGCAGAGATGAGTGGAGCTCAGATAAATTAGTGGGCTTGAAAGACAACATGGGGTGCTTTAGAGTGGCATGGTATTGACATAGCTCTTCTGTAGACTGCAAACTTTTTGATATGATTGTGACAACAAGTCTTGCAAACTTGTAACTTTTGGGAATTGATCTGATTTGGAATAACAATGCTATATTTTGGTATTCCTCTGGACAGATGTGCAAGTTAACTCATGATTTTCACAGCTATATTTGGCAAACTACTTTAGAATAGCGGTCTTTCACTTGCAGTAACAACAATAATGGCAAGCGACTTAGCAACTAAAGAAGCATTAGAAATAGATGAACTCTGGGCAACTTCTCGCAAGGATCAATATCCATTCATCAGGTGCCTGAAGCTATATAGTGGAAAGGCGGCATTACAAAAATAGTTTTTTACAGACAGTGTTACTCTTAATATCCTCAGGCTTTTCCAAGGCAAGGGGAAGAATGCGGCCTAAACCTTTATTTAACACAAACATCAAATCAGAGAGCTTTGGATTAAAATGAACAATTCCTGAGTAATTCCTGAGAAATATGCAGAGTTAAATCTGTGAGTATGTTATTTTCATCTGAAACAGATAGCGGTCTGAACTGAGAATTTTGGTTGCCATTTTATCAACAAAAAATGATATTGTGATAACTGCTGAAAAACTACATGAAGTTCTGGTAATGATTATGGGAGTTAGAGATGGCCATAAAGATAAGCAGTGAAATCAAATGTGTTTCTCTTGGGCATGGTATCTCTCGGTGGCATGGTATCTCACAGTGGAACAATTTACTTTAGGTCTGGATGAATTCAAAACACATAAAGACTCAGGAGATCACATTTCTTAAATAATTTAATTGCAAAAGGGTCTTTTAAAAATATTTCTACAAGAATGCATCATCATTTTTTAGTAATTTGTTGTGTATGTCTGCACCATTAAATACATCTTAATGCTTTTTCAAAGAGGAATTAACAATTGCATTTCTCAGCACTTTATTCCGTCCCCCCTCCTGGTTCACTATACATGTACAGTACTTTCTGACACATCTCACTTCCTTGTATGAAGAGGGGGTTTTCAAAAGTGACCAAAAGACAGATGTGGATTGAAATTGTTAGAAGACAGAAGAAAATACAGTACTGTATATGTTTATTTAAAACAGACAACTAAAGAAAAGAAAGTTAGAAAGTTGTAAGTGAAGGGGTTTCGGGGTGTGTGGGTGTGGTTGTTTGATGATTTATGGAAGATGTATATTAAGAAAAGAAACGTAGAAGGAATGTGAGGGATCCTATTGGCACATGTACAGATAACTACATCTGACAAAGCCTAAACTCTGCTGATCAAAGTGTTTCTGTATAAATTTCTTTTATTTCACACACTCTCACACACACGAACGCACACATAACAGTCTATCTTAATTTCAGCAATGTGCCGTCAGAAGGATGAACAAAAAAACACTAGACAGTGTGTTTCCTTCGCTCTGTGAATATTGAATATTAAACCCTGCCATGAATGTGTGAGAATCCACTTAAAGATTAATTGTTTTCAGTTGATGTGGTGGCAGTTTAATCATTTTAAGATGTGCAACAGTGCCAGTTGAGCTCATCACTCATGGCTGGTTGAGTTTGGTGAACACAGCTCCAGAGACCAGAGCACCATGTGCACCTCATCAACAGTTAATGCGAGCTCCAAAGGGCTGCCATTTTTCATGAGTGGGCATGTCTGACATCTGATTGTATTTAGCTCCCTTCTCTATTTTTATGCTCATCAATTGTGTCTTTTTTGCTGTCACGTGTGAGTTTGCAACAGTGGGTCTTCGCTGATTGGATGATTGAGCCGAGGGCAGGAAGCAGGAGTACTATTGAATATTCCTGGGAGACTTTGGGAGGTGAGCTTCTGATTGCATTCATTCTGCTCTTCTGTCATCTCTGAATGTAGATTCTATCACTGTTTTCCAATGAAAATTCTGTTTTGTTTTGGTGAGAAACAAAATACTTCTGCAGAATGGTATCAAGAAACATCTCATCATGATATCACATCATGCTGACGATACTGGAAATCTGAACACTTTGATGAAACAAATGTAAGGATATCAGACCTGAATAGTTTGAGTACACGTCCGTTAAATTACTACTTGATTGTGTACCATAACTATAGAGAGTACTAGCAGTAGTGAAAACAGCTGTACTTAGAATAAGATGAAATAATATAAAACGGGAAACACATTGTTGTTTTGCTTAATATCCTCCATGACTTTTGAAGGGACTTAAAGGTGAGGCTTACAAAAGTAATATGGTAAGAAAAACTGCATGGCCACTAACATCATGCTATCATCACACACCTAACTAACAATATTCACATATTGCATTGATCAGCTCCAACCCAAACAACATATAGACTATCTGAAAGACCATAGCAGTGATGCAGCCCCATCCCTTAATCCGCAACTATCAAACACCCCTCTGTGAGAAGTGAAAATAGTATGGTCTCCTTGATGCAGCTGCTATCATTTAGGATGGGCGGGGGGCTGCAGATTTTGGTTGTCTGCATCTCAGAGCTGTTGATCCTGCACTGTACTAATCATGCAGCAGCCTGAGCTGAGACAGGATGATTGCAGGCCAGACAGGAAATGAAGAGAGATAATGATAGGTCAGCCCGCCGTATGTCTGCGCTCGCTGTGTGCTTGTATCCTCCAGCCCACATTGGCTGCTGCATTAATCGACAGACAAAGACCAATAGGTTTCTTTTCTGACAGCTCTGGATTCTCTGACGAGGATCCTGTTGCAGGGAAGCAAACCGCAGGTCTAGTGGAGGAGCTCCACCTCTGGGGCAATTTAAGTGACTGGCAGGTAGGTCATCGTCTCTGAACCTTCCCCCTAATGACTGCTTAATACACCTACGTAAGATGGGTTGGGAGGATCCCATTGTTGGAAAAATGAAAAATAGGTAAACCACAGAGATGCATCTGAATGGTTCGCAGGAGTTGAAAAAATGTGCCTGGAAGACAATTAGTAACAGCTCAGTGCTTCACAAATGCTCTTTATGTTGCAGAATGAGAATGGATTGGGGAAGCTTAATATCCAGTTCAGGTGGCACACACAAACTTGAACACACCTACACGGACACTCACACTGAGAGCAAAAGGGCGACATGATATTACCAATAGTCCAACCATGTATGTTGTTCATCTCTTCCTCTCTACCTTCTGACTTCCCCCCCTCTCTCTCTTCTTCCTTTGCTTTCTGTTAATTTCACTCTGAATCAAACATTTCACAACAGCACTTCCATTTTTGTCAAAACACCATTTTTCTTTTGATATTTATCATATTTTTGTTACAAAACATGTACAGGCTGTTTAGAACAACAACAAAAATACAATATCCAATTTATATGCAATTTCTTTTGTCATCAATTCGTTAGGTGAATCCTTTTGGAGTTTATCTTCCTTCTGATTGTTCCAAGTCCACTGTCCCAAATGGCATACAGTCCATGTGGGTGTTGGTGGGGGTTGGGGGTTGGCGGGCGAGGTACAAATAAATACATAGGGCAGGATGTCAAGAAATTAAAACAATAATTTTGATTATTTCTAAATCCAGATAATAGTAAGTAGAAAGTAAGGTGTCCGTCATGGTTCTCTCAGTTTCTGCATGATGCATATATATATATAATTTTATATATATATGTATGTCCGTTCATTTTTTTGGATTCAATAAAAAAGAATGTTTAACAGTTGTCCACAGAATATAGCGTAATTGTTTCAGATATATTTGCTCCTTGTCACGGTTCAGTTCATGCGTTAATTCTCCACGGTGGCAAATAGCGGAAGCTGTATTGTACAGTATACTTGTGTGCAACTTGACACACCCGCAGATCCAAGCACACTTAATCACACATACACGCACACATGCGCACACACATACAAAAACGCACACAAAAGGCCAAGTGGTCTTTCTATAGTGTTGCCACAGTCCTTGTTTCCCCTTTAATCACATAAAGCGTCCAGTGGGGCTACTTAGGTTTGACCGGCCATTTTGAAACCACAAATCTCCCAAAAATGCATAAGAAAAGCAAAAAAAAAAGAAGAGGAAAAAAAGGTGTGTGGACAAACAAAAGTAAAACATTTTTATGTGTAAAAATGCAGGTGATGAGGAGGTGATCCCAAGCTGTGGAACAATCCTGAGTCACTTCAGGTCAGGGTGAAGAGATCATCTGGTGACCTATTGAGGATTCAACAGCCAAAACAAAGTGTCCAAAAATGTGGCTGCTGTCCTTTGACCTTTTTGACCTCTGTCATCCTCTTGACCTTTGAACTCACCCGTCTCCGGCAAGTGCCCATTTAGATAACACACCTTCAATATGAAGATGGAGAACAACACACACATGCACAATAAAACAACTTCTATCAGGGAAAGAATTGTCCTCAGTCTCCTGTGGGTCCAAAACACCTCTGTTTTTTAGTTTTGTTTTTTTATGTGTGTGAACATTTGTTTGTTTGTTTTTTACACCAGGGTGTTCATTCTTTGCAAAGCATTGCGTCCATCAAAGCTGGGTTGAGAGGTCAAGGGAAGGGGGTCTTGCTTGAGGATCAGAGTGTGACATTTCAGTTATGGGGCTATGGCCAACCTCACTAAAATACACATGCATGCAAACGTCAATCCACACCAGAGCTGGTGAGAAATGCATGGGATATAAGGGGGTTAACTCTTCTTCCTCTTTCAAAAACACACTAATTCTGATTGGATGGAAAAAGAAATAATGACGAATAACAAAAAAGCAGGAACAGGAAATGAAAGTGGTAGTGAAATAAAGAACAAAATAGTCAGAGGCACTGCAAGCCAGTTTCATAGCGTCTAATTGGCAGAGATGGGTCAGGCAGCTAGGGTTTTCCAATGGCTCTCTCTGGCACAGTTCCTCCCCCCCTTTTCCTATCTGGCTGTCCTTCGACTGCATCGGTCTGTGTCCTGTCGCTCACACCTGGACAGGAAGTGTTTGGTTCATCTGTAGTCTCATGTCCTGAATGCTACCAAGAATCTTCTTCTGATGGCCAGCCAACGTTACCCCTATCCGCAGCAAGTCCCTGTGGAGTGAAATGAAAGGAGAACAAAATAAGAACAGGTGGCTCCGTGATAAAAAAAAAAGCAGGCAAACATCACATGTCCAAAGATGAAGTGTAAATTTCACTTTTCACCCACAAGTAAACACACACTCAAAAGGGACAGGCAAGCACCTTGACAATCGCCCATAAAATGGCTTCCAGAGGGTATGTCAACAAAATGGAGATACTTATCCAGCTATAGTGAATACTGGTCTTAGTGCAACATACTTCTGTTGCCCGGCAGGTGGGCAAGAACAGGGGAGTCAAAGGTCCATAATGTGATAGTTAATGATTAAAGAGCAAACTCAGCTACTGTCTGGCAGCTGGCAGACTTCACAAGCAGAATCCACACAACATGCCACTTAGCCATAGAAATGTTTTTTTGCAATATACTAGACAGTTAGGAGCTTGTCATTCATACTGTGAAATATTCTTAACTTGGCCACTGTTGGACAAAATTCCTCAGTGCTTAAAAATATCCAAGAACTACAGCAAATAAGGTGTAAATTAGTCTTTTAGCTAAGGGCTCACACCAGATACGGTGTGATATTTAGAGTAAGTAGAGGGCCTTAACCTTGGGTGTTGTGGGTGCAGAGGGAAAATATAAAAATGTTGACATATAGTTGACATTACTACACCTTTAAAAAGGCCTGGGAGAGTGCACCTGCTTTGGCTTTGTCATTAGTCAGACGGCATAATCTAATCATCATGGCCATGTTGGTTTAACACTGTACAATAATATCATGAGAACCTCTCTTTTCCGCTCGCTTGTTTGATTTCCCCAGTCGATAGCTGAGGAGAGAACGGACGGCGTCTGGGGTAGCGATTAGCTGACTGTTGGGGCTCTGCCACAGTCTGCGTCCTCTCCGTTCAGTCACACAGACACACACACAAGTACTGGATAATCTAATATTACACGCAGACACCATACACTCTGCTTGTCTCAATGACTTTGTGGCCCCATCCATTTTAGTAGAAAAGTGTGCACCTAAACCCACAAATGGACAAACACGCACACACACACACACTGCACATCCATCCTCTCCAAAGCCAAACAAGGGTGCATCACTGAAATTTCACACAAATAAATGGTGGGGGGTTTTGTGTTTTTTCATATTTCGCCATCCCCATCAGTGCAGCGATGGAGGATGAAATGATAATAAATGGGCACCATTAGACAAATTACTGGCCATTAAGGGCAACAGAGAGCCACAGTACACCACACCTGTCAGCCTGGCCAAATTGAAATAAATTACCCCCACCTCCATTGCCTATTATGCAGCTAATGAGGATAATTTATTTATCATTATAATCCTAATTCATTTATTTGATCATCACTGGCCTCCAGTTTCCAGGACTTCCATTACATCATTTCCTGTTTGTAAACACGGACAGGTGGGTGAGTCGTCAAGGTCAACTGGAGATCATAGGAAAGGAAGCAGCTACACGTGCTCTGGAGAAAATGTACTACACTGTTAAATTGTGTTTGTTGATTGTGTATCTGATGTTGGACTCCTGAAGCAGGCAGTTGGAACTGGTCCTCTCCTGATTACATAATCCTCCCCATACTACAGCAAACCTATCCTGATCAATTATATACCAAATTAAAAGGATCTTGTGTTCATTTTGTCACATTTTGAACTGCTGCATAATCTCTCTCTCATGTCGCCAGTAAATATCACATTTTCCTTTTTAAAACTAGTGCTCACAACATTAAAAGACATGATACTGTATGTATTCATGGCATGATTCATCTTTATATCAGAAAAAATATATTTCTGAAATGTCTGCTAAATGTACCAATATAGTAAAATAATTGCTGTTTAAAATCCTTTATGTTATTTATTTGATGTCTGAGCTTACTCATAGCACCTATTCCACATCTTATCACATATTATTAAGCCATGAGACCATTTTTATTCCCTCAAGGTCAAACAGTCACTAATTTTACACTCAAACCCAGCCCAGTCAGTCACTTAAGGCCTGATTAGCTGAATCCCTTTCCACTCACTCTGCTGTCATCTGGGCCACCAGGTCAAAGGAAGCAAATCCGGCATTGACGAAGTTGTCACGGTAGCGGCTCATCTTGATGGCGTCCAGCCAGTCCCCCACAGTGGTGAAAGTGGTATAGTCTGGCACACAGCGGTCAAGCAAGGGCTGGGATACCCTACATTAGGAGAGGGGGAGGGAGGAGGGGAGAAAGAGAAACAGGGAGAGAGAGGGTTAAGGTCGTCACTCTACTGCCTCTACCGGCCAACCTCACCCCCAAACGCCCCCCGCTGAGCGCCACCTCTCCATTTCTCCACCTCTCCTCCTCCTCTCTCCTCCCCTCTTCTCTCCTCTCCTCCACATCTAAGGAGTTGTGTGCAGGGGAGTGGGGACATGGGGGGCCACTTTAATGACTGTGGAGAGACTGGCTGGAGGCTTGGATGGTGGATGGTGGATGATGGCGCTGCAGCTGGTGAGGCGAGGTGGTGTGTGTTGTCAAATCTGGTCTTTAGTGATGACTATACAGATCACATTTACTATATAAACTATAATCAATAACAGATGTCATAGTAATCAAGTGGGCATTTCTCTGGTCTGCAGACTGCATTTATTTGGCAGCATCTGTGATATTGGATGTTTCCTATATGAAATCCTAGAAATATCTGGACAGCTCTCTTCCTGTTTATTGGTTCCTATTATTTGTGTTGCAATGAGATGAGTTGCATGGGGACCAACAAAACTAAAAATATAACAAAATCCACTTGAAATCCGAGTTGAGTAGTTTTACTGAGTTGTACTTTCAAACCGCCTACAAATGTGCTTTAAATCTGATCTGTAAAGATTGGATTCCATGCAGTTTTGTTGTTAAGCTTAAATCAGATTTGGGCTGTCTGTATGTGCTTAACATGTAGGTTATAAGCCATATACTCTATAGCACATTGTTGTTGCATTTACAGTACAATGTCTCTGGGTGTGTTTGAACTTATATGCATATGCTCTTTATGGAAAACCATCCGAGGTTGGCTAGACAAAAGGATGCATGCACAGAGGTGGACACACATTTAGTGTGTGGTTGCGTGTTAGGACCGGATCATGAATCTGGAAGGAGTGTTTGACTGTTCATCTGTGTATATATGAATAAACTGTACTTGGTCGTATGATCAGTGTGTGTGCGTGTGTATTCCTGAAAATGGGTTTGAGTGTGTTTTGCATGTTCCTGCACACCTTGACAGCCCAAAAGGGCCTTTCTAAAGAAGGACCTAACCCCCTGTGCTGATCAATGCTGTAGATAGAGAGGCCACCTTGGAGTTTTAATAAAACTGTGCTACAACTCAGAGCGAAGTGGAGCGGTTGAACAAGGGGGGGGGGGGGGGGGGTTCAGGGAGGTGAAGGAGGAGAAACAGATGAGGGAGCAAGCACAGAGAAAGAGCACCACTGTCTCCCCTCCTCTCTGCTCTGTTGATCCCTGTCATCCTTTTTGATGGCATTACATTCATTAACAATTAAAAGAGGAATGGAGGGAGAAAGAAGGAAAAAATAGAAAAGGCACCGATGGGGAGTTAATAACAGTGATACAGAGGGTCCATTGAGTGGTGTAGATGGAGTGATATTTAATAAGGCCTGTGCTTCGGAGTCCAAGGCCTCGAGCCGTCGTTAACGCCAACGCCAACGCCAACACCAGACTCTGGCTTCTCTTAATGGAGTATTGTTAGTCCTGTTTCTCTTAAGTTGGCTTCAAAAGGGTCCAGAATGTTGCTGGCCACATGTGAGCCACAAGCAGAAACACAGCAAGAAACATGGGTAATATTATATGCTAGCTAGTGAGACAGTTACAGGCCAAATTCAAAGGTCAGTGGTTGGTACTATAGCAGTTTCACCAAAGAGTTAGGTTTGTTAGACTGTTTTGCAGTTTCTAAAAGTGGATGTGATTCATTTGTCAAGTGTGACATTCTGCATTTGCAACAGAGACTCAAAAGTAAAACGATAAACACAGAAAATGACTCATTGAAGTGGTGAAGGAAGCCTAACACCACCAAAGCTCAATTGCTCATTACACTCTACACCTACAATGCAATATGCAGTCATGTCATGTACACATAACACACACAAGCAAAGGACTTTAATGCCAGACGGTGTTAGCTAACCTCCAGCCACCCTTCAATGCCGACCAGGACGACGGTATCATCTCTCACTCCTCCCTTGTTACGTTTGTCGGCAGGAGGCCACCTCTCCGCTGGCCCGCTTAAAATCTCGTTAGTGGCTAATTAAAAGGCGCTCCCATCTCTTTTTTGCCTCTCCTTAATCGAGCTAATTAACAGCAAGCTTAATCTTCTAAGAGCGTCATTCCGTTGGCCAACCGAGACCCTGGTTTCCCCATGAGCCCAAACTAGGATTGTCTGCGGCCCTCCCTCAAGATAGAAAGACCCTGATGCAGGGACAGATAGGTAGGTCAGCCCCCTCCCTGCCGCTCCAACTCTTCCACCTTCTATCCTCCAAATTCTTTCCAAGAAACAGATTGCGGAGGGAGGTAGTGCTGCTAAATGCAGATGTGACATCATTGATTGAGCTCCCAGTTGGCGGAGGAGTTGCTTTAAGGCCTGTATTGAGCGATAGTAATTTGGATTTGCATAATGTCCCAGGCTGCATTTGTGAGAACTGAAGAGTTGTACGGGAAGAAAGGTGCACTTTGCAGAAGCTTAGAGATTGTTACAGCTGAGTCAGAGTGACTCACATACACCATATCAACTTGGATAATGAATATTTGCAGAGTGGAAATCATTATCGCAGTTCCTCTGGCTCAGGTGCAAATGAAATGGCTCGGCCAATGTACTCTCATGGCTGAAAAGTCAAGTGACTTCATTCAATAAAATAATGACCTGTTACTGTAATCTATCACAAGACTCCAGCAAATCTTCTCCAACATATGAGAAGGTTTTTAGAAAGCGATCAGCACTAATATCATTAATGTTTTGACCATAATTAGACATTATTGCCAATATTACAGCTTACCCAGTGGACTGTGTGCTGTTAGTGACCACCTTGAGACTGGCAGCATTGCGGATAAGCTTATCCAGTGTGGCCACAATCTGAGCGAATTTGGGTCGCAGGTTCCTCTCTTTCACCCAGCAGTCCAACATGAGCTGGTGCAGTGCTGTGGGGCAGTCCATGGGAGGGGGCAGTCGGTAGTCCTGCTCCACGGCATTTATTACCTGTGGAAGGACAACAGAGAAATCACAATCACTTCTAATCACAGAGTATGGTGTAGAGGCAGGATGGACAACACAAGGAGAGAGATGGGTCGATGAAAAGAGGAAGTGAGGGGGGAGAGAAGAGGATGAATGATGGGAGAGTCAGAGATAAACAGGAAAAAAGGCTTTAGGGAATAAATAGAAATAAGGGAAAGTGAAAGATTAGCTTTGAGTGGTAGTTGTGGATGGGTATGTAGAGAGAGAATGGCTGAAAACTATTACAATTTTAAATATTTACATTTATATCTTCTGCTACTGTTTGATGCTGAATATTCCATTATATATACATTATACATTATACAGTATATACTGTGTATACGTATGTGTGTGTGTATATATATATATATAAACTGTATACTGTATATATATTACATTAAGTATGAGTATATCACAATATAAAAAAAATATCAGCTTACATCTTGATTGCTCATGTCCCAGTATGGCCGCTCGCCATACGACATCACTTCCCACATGACAATCCCGTAGCTCCATACGTCACTGGCCGAGGTGAACTTCCTGTAGGCAATTGCCTCGGGAGCCGTCCAGCGAATGGGGATTTTTCCTCCCTGTGGATATGCGAATGAGTAGGTGAGCATGAAATACTGGAGGGATGGAACACAAACACAGAGTCGCACACATACAAGAGGGAGAGAGAGGGTGAGAAAAACACAGTCTAAGGGAAATGTGATGCACAACACATGGGTGCATGCTGTTGAACCCAAACGCCACATACACACAGGGTTAGTAACACAGTTACAGGAAATGACATGTACAAACAAGTGAAGCTATAAGAATATTTAATGTGCTACAAACTGTATTTTTCAACATCAATAGGTCACCAATTTATCACCAATTCTTTCATATTACTGAACTGAACTGTAGGCGAAGTAATTGGCAGCGGTGTCTCTCAGAATAAAGAATATAGTTCCCAACAACCTTGCTTCCTGTCACCAAGAGACTTGTCATGCCTCACTCTTCCTGATGTTGTTCTGAGTGCTTTTTGCTTTTTATTTTCTATATACCTACTAGAGAGGATAGGAAGTGACTTTTTTGTTTTATGATGTGCCATTGTAATATATTCAGAAGGCTGAGCTGCACTGGAAGAAGAGAGCCCTTTTCCTGTTTTGAGAAGTCAAACGCTAAAACTAAACTTTTGCATAAAGGCCAGAGGAGGCTGCCTATCTTTATACTAGAGCTCATGTTCATTTATGACAATTATACTCAATCTCAAAGGACCCTTTCCTATGTGCCTTAACCTGCTTTGCCAATTTTACATGTTGTGTCATTTGAGAATAGCAGCCAGAATCAATCTTTTCACATCACACATTATGAGTATCTTGGAAATTTTCTGCAGCTTCAGTGAAAACACACATGTCCAGGTAAAAAATGCACATGTCCACCAATGTGTCAAACTGTTCTTATTGATCCCACTTCCACCTGCCATCCAATGTGAGAAGAAAATAACTCCCTTTTCTTTCCATTATGGTCATGTCATCTGGGAACAGACTTGACACAGATCTATTTTCTGAATACTTTCAAATATGGCAATGTTGTGGATTGATTTGTAAAAGGGGATACAATTACCATAATAGTGATGTACTGACGTTAAAAAATTACATGTAGCACCTTTAAACATTGATTAAAACATGAATACACCTACACAAACACATACACACATGTAAACCCTAACTCACCAGGGAGCTGGTGTACGTGGGGTCTGTAGCGTCATCCTCGAGGAAACGAGATAGGCCAAAGTCAGACACTTTACACACCAGATTACTGTTGACCAAGATGTTACGGGCAGCCAAGTCTCTGTGGACGTAGTTCATGTCTGACAGGTACTTCATGCCTGCTGCGATACCGCGCAGCATGCCAACCAGCTGGATTACTGTGAACTGCCCGTCATTGAGCTGGCAAAGGAAGAGAAAGAATGACAAGGATAAATTGGATTGTAGATCAAGGTTGCATAGTCAAAGGAATATATGTTTGTCTCCTTTTTACCTTTATTTGTCCTACCTATCTTTCTTTTTTCAGTGCCTCTTAAAGTACTCTTGTGGCATATATCCTCGTTCCTACATCTTTCATCTGACATCACTGTTACACACTATAACATCTTTCTCTTTTCTACCTATCCATCCTCCATTCCTCTCTTCCCCTTTCTCTGGCAGACAATGTATGATGTGACTTTGAGGCGGTGATTCATTGGAGACTGAGCTCTTTGTAAATGTCACCAAATGCCTGAATGCAGCATTTGTTAGATACCCATTGTAGGCTCTGGAGCAGAGCTTAAGAAGACCTTTTATGGCTCTAATGAAAGTGAAATAACTAAAAGCAAGATCAAGCAGATTTGGATGGGCTTATTTGCTGGATAGTCTTGCATTATTGATAAAATCACAGATACATATTTTTTAGGGAGTTGCTAATGTTAGAGCTATTCTTGTGTTTAAGTGTTTGTGTATGCCTTTTTTTTCTCACCCTTAGGAAAGAGTCCAGTGCTCCATTCTCCATGAACTCTGTCACAATCATCACTGGTCGACTTTTGGTGACTACGCCCTCCAGACGGATGATGTTGGGGTGGTCGAACTGGCCCATGATGGAAGCCTCAGACAGGAAGTCTCGTCTCTGGCGGTCAGTGTACCCCACCTTGAGAGTCTTGATGGCTACGATGATCTCCCGGCGCCCAGGCAGCTTAAGGCGACCGCGGCACACCTCCCCAAACTCTCCTGCGAGAGCCCAGGTGAGACAGCCAGAGGAATAGGAGAGATGGAAGGAGAGAGAGAGAAAGAGGGAGGGGAGAGAGGCATGACGGAACAGTGGAGGAGAGTGGGGGAAAAGAGGGGAGAGGGGACAGTTAACTGGTTAGAACCAAGGAGCCAGGGAAGGGTAGCAGGAGGGGTGGGACAGGGGGAACTGCAAGTGAAGCCAGGACTCTAGGCCAGTGTCAAGGGATGGTGGTGATAAGGGGAGCGTATAGTGACTTTGTGCTGTTAAGCTAAGGATTAAAAGAAACAGCATGGTGAGTGTAAGGCATGATGATGGAATGTGAGATGAGATGTAGAGTTGAAAAAAATACATGTTGAAATAAAAAAAAGTAGTTTGACACGGTGAGAAGAGAAGGTGGGGACAGAAGAGGAAAGGATCAGGGGGGTGGTGCTAAGCTTCGGAGGGGCTGGAGAAGTAGGCACAGGAGGATGAGATAGGTGGAGACAGAAGCTTGGGGGTTCTTGGGGTTGTGGAGGATTTACGTTTAGAGTCTATACCAAGCGTGCACAGGAATGCAAGAAAAATGAGGCAATGACAGTGATGTGTGTCAATATGAGTGCAAAGGTGACAAAGTCACAGTACGATAGGGCAGCGGATGGAGGAAAATGTAGGGATGGTTGAGGAAGGGGTAGAGGAGAGGAGGGGGACAGGGAAGACAGGGGTTGAGGGTTCGTCACTTTAAAGGCGAATGCTGGGAAGCGACGGGTTTCAAGTAGTAGCCTCAGCAGTAGAAGAGCTGTCGTAGTAGTAGTAGCAGTAGTAATGGTAGTAGCAGAAGCAGTAGTAGGGACTCCCATCTCTGCCATCACAACGTCCTCCATTTGGCTCAGATACAATGCTAAGAAAACTCAACCTCATTTGGCACAGTCCTGCAGCTTTTGAGTAGAGATATTACTATCAAATATATCAAATACATCAAATATTTTACTATCTACAACAGCAAATGTTAGGGAGGGTTTCAAAAGGAGGGGACACTACCACATAGTGGAAGAGGTGTAAGTGCCAGGAACAGGGTTCAATAATAGTGATCCAGTAGAAGTCCTCTTTAGTAAAGAGGTTCTCAAGATACTTAAAAGTGGGCAGGGTCAGAGACGGCCAATCCTGGACTCGAAACATTTTAAAATCTTTTGCCCCATCCAGACAGGATTAATGTTTCAGAGGGGTGCAGGAGTTAAATATTAGCCATGCTCCTTGGTAACATGAATTGCATTGTACAACCCAACACATTCCCCCAGGAGACCTGTAAAACAATTTAATTCAAGATAGCTATTACCCATTTGATAAGCCTGTAGGATCAGACTCTCCACATGGGCATTCAATAACAACTGTATGTCAATAAGCAAGTAATGGATTTGTATAAAATTATTTTATTACACCCTGCAGAACTCAAATACAGGTGACTGCTGAAAATCAAACTTAAAAAAAGTTACATCTTAAAACACAATGTGTCTACCGGTATAGGAAGTAAAAGGAGACCAATGAGCATGCCAAAAAAACAATAAGGCTGTAATTTATACCGGAAGAGATAAGAGAAAAATCACACACGTGCTCGGGCAGGATTAAAATCTCCCCTAGAGAAATATATCCTGTCTGTATGGAGCTGTAGTCTTGCATTGCCCAAAATGTGCTTCCATTACATTCAAGAAGATTTTTATCAGTTAGAAATGACAGCTGTTTCAAACTTATTTAAAGTAAAAGAAAATCTCCTTGCACAGTATCTCTCTTGTTCCAGGATTGGGCTCCGTTTTTTGGGTGAAATGATAATGCACCATAAAAAAGGTATTGCAGCTACTCTAAATGCACATGGCATGGTAAACAATGTAGTTGTGCTAGGACTGTGAGTCACGTTAATTTAAAGAGGACATATTGTAGCTAGTAATGCTTAAAACACAGGGCAGTGCTAAAGACATCTGTAAGACTGGAAAGGGGTTCCTAAGAGGTGACGAGTGTGGGAGGGGAGGGAGCAAAGAGAGGGCTAGCGATGAATTGAGTCAAAGTACCGCTTGGTGTGAAGTCCTCTAACGGTATGGCCTGGAGGTGACTAGCAGTCTTCCCCCTGTAGCTCAGGAGCTTTGGTGGGTTACCTGCGCCAATGACCTCCTCGATCTTCACGCAGGAGACGTCAATCTCCTTGGCAAACTCGCGCACCGCCTCGTTGGGGTCCTCATATGTGAAGGGGTCAATGTAGACCTTCATTCCCGGCGTTACTATAGGGGATTCAGTGGCAAGAACAGGAAAGTGAATCTATGCCATCAAACAAAATTTCAACAATAGATAACACTATGTAAAGTCCCGAAAACACATTCTTTATCAATCAAGTATAGATCAAAGCAAGATCCTTTATAATACTTATGAGAGCTTATACTTTTAGTTATACTTAGTGGTACTCTACTCTTTTATACTCTTTAGTGGTTGGGGATGCTCAGTCATTGGTAAGTTGAAATATAGAAACACTGCTATTGAAATTTCACTAATGCAAGAAGCAGGGGTATCTCAGCAAAGAGACTTACTGTACTGCTGCAGTTTCTCTGTGTACTCCGACTCTGAGCCATTTCTCTGCTTTCTGTTGAGAAAGATGAAAACACAAACTGAATCACGTGGGCTCCACACAGCAGGGTGCAAATACTGGAAAGGAACAAAGGCATGAGGAGAAAACAGATCCCTAATAATGTCTGCAGAGATGTAGCCACACTACGATGTGGCTTGGTGAAGATGTTTTGTATTTTTGCATTTGAAGCAAGGGATACACTGTAGCTAGAGATTGGATCAATGCCTGGTGGTAAAATGATTCATACTTGGGGACTGTAACACGAGTCTAAACAAAAGGATATCATACCATTGTGTGAAGCAGCAAGTGAACACCATTCACTTTTGGTACCCCCAAGATGAGAAGCCGAGACAAAAGCAGACTGAAACAGCAAGCACAGCTGTCTCGCCTTCCTTGCCCTACAGACATTTCAACTGTAATTTCAATTCAATCTGCCTCTTATTTTGTCCTCATGGACTGTCATTCTCTTGCTATCATTCTCTCTCTCTCTCTCTCTCTCTCTCTCTCTCTCTCTCATTGTCCATTTTTCCTTTCTCTTTTAACTCTCCATGTCTCTCAGTGTCAGAATCCTCTGCACCTTCCTGCATCTGTGCCTTCATTGGGGGGCAAAGATGATGACAGAGCAAGGGGGCTGGGTTGTTGAAATTACATGTTAATGTGCTTCCTTTGTTGTCTAACCAGTAACCAGGGCAATAATACCCGATGGTGATTTGCATCTTATTTCAAATTCTAATTCGGTTCCGGAATATGCTGGAGCTCTGTGTTTTGTATTATTACTATTTTCTCCTTCTTCTTCTGTGGCAGTCAGAGCAACGGCTAAGCCAATACCCTGAGAGAGACACAATGCAGCGGTGTGAAAATAGAAGAGAGCGAAGAGGCAGGAGAGAAGGAGAAGAGGGGGAGGGCAGGGAGATTATTATTCAGTCTAGCATGACCGATGCCCACGCTTGTCAGCCGCTGCCTGAACTGGCTTGTGGAGGGAACCCAGTAGGCGCCAGTCAGCAGTGGGTGCCAACCTTTCACACATATACACACACACACACACACACACACACACACACACACACACACACACACACACTGCATTTGCTTCTTGACAAATGAGTGGTATGAGGATAAACGAGTGTGGTTAGACCCAGCTGATGCAGTGTCAGACTTTTTGAAATGTCTGAGCAGCCGTTCGCATCTTCCCAGTCAATAGGCCTTGCAGACAGGGGCGCATCTGGGTTCTTTGTGGTCAGGCAACCGCACAGTTGATTTTGAGTGTCGGGCCATGAGGGCAGGCCTATCTGGCCCAACAGCTGCTCTACCATGCTGTGTCCAGTGAGCAAAGTAGCATTTTGGCCAAAGCTGTTTACTATTCACAGATTCAGAAGGCTAATCTGGCATTCAGCGGCCTCACAGGTGGCACAGCAATCCGCTGAGACTGTTCCGGGGTGGTTTGGAGGACATGCAAACAAAGTTGACATTTGAAGCTATCTCAGTTTTTTTCAACTTGAAGGAAATGTATTTTCCACAAATGTTTCTGTTAGTCTTCACTGTTTGAACATGTTGTGTAGGCCCGAAACAAGTAAACGAGTATGTTTTGCCACAGTTATTTATCGTTGATACCCAAGTTGCTCATTCTTATCTCTAAAGTGTTCTGACATTTTGAGGGGCTGATAGAGAAGTTAAATTCTCACCTGAGGCAGACGATAGCGATGACCACAACTGCAATGATGAAGACCAAGGTGGCAGTGGCTGATCCCACAATGAGTGGCAGCTGCTCCTGCCAGGACTTTGGAGGGTCATCTTTAGGGTTCAAACAGAGTGAGCTTTAACTTGCAGAACTTGTCACAAATATACACCCACACTAGCTGCATCCATGTCTATTGATAGGCTTGTATGCCTCTCATGCCTACTTCAGAATTATATGCTTATGTAGGTAAATGCCCTCGTGTTCTTCAGGTTGTATTTAGCAGAATGGGCAGCACCCTAGGACTAATAAATGTATTTATGAAGACTGCAAGATAGATTATTCAATTATTTTATTTTGCATGCTTAATGATATGATGTAGAGCAAGAGTCAGTCTGATACATTGACTGATTGCTAGGAAATGGTAGATTTTTACCAAATCACAAGTCACTTTCTCTACAAGAAATTCCAATCTTTTTGTATGAAAAATAGGCATAGTAGCTTCTGGCTCTATAAGCTTTTGAGCCTCCATTATGTTCAGAAGCTTATGCACAGCACCATCATAGATATATTGCTGCTAAGCCACAAATATTCCAATATATCTCTGGATAATGAAGTAGGTATGGGAGTAACATACTTTGCAGGTTGGTGCTGAAGTCGGCTGGGCTGCTGTAACGGCCATAACCGGCCACTGTTCTGGCACGGACCTGAACCACATAAGGTGTACCAGGCTTGAGACCTTCAATGCGGGCGTTGCTCCGTTGCGCGGTCATAGTATGGGCAATGGCCTCACCCTGATCCTGCAAAGACAAAACAGTGATGAAAACAATATCAAACAGCAGGATCCCCTGTGCTGTCCCATTCATCATCAACCCCTGTTCTATCCTCCCTGACATGGCTGACCAAACTAACCGTGCAGGCGGGTAAAAAAAAAAAAAGGAGACGAGTGAGAGAGAGCAATGTAGAGACACAGATTGTAGCTGGTGTGCTAAACTGACAGGAGAAGGACAAGACAACAAACAGAGCAGATACACACTGAGAGCCTTTGTTCTCTCCCCATGGAAAACACACTTGGCCTCTGGAAAATACAGAAACTTTCTAATGCATGGAATGAGAGAGGATGGGGGATAAGAGAGAGGGCAAGAGGGAAAGATTTAGGGGTACAGAAAAGGGTAGAGCATAATAGAAATACAGATTGAGAGGAGTGAAAGAGAGAAAAAGGATGGAGGGGCAGAGGGATGGAAGGAGGGGGATAAGTAGGGGAGGATGATCACACAAGCTAAGATTGCAAATGGTGACTTGCCTCACTGCAACCATGTGTTTATCAGCAGAGGCATTGTTTTCCACATTTACAGAAAGACAGATGAAACAGAGACCATGCAAGTCATTGAAATTGGATTGAATTAGAGGCGTTGACTTACATTGCTGCTTACCTTCTCATGGTACTTAATCTCATAATCCAGAATGATTCCGTTGGGTTTCTCAGGAGGCAGCCAGGACAGGCTCATGGTGCTTGCTGTGGCCGCCATCAGGTGAACTGTGGGCACTGCAGACGGAGCTACACAGGGCAAAACAAATAAAGGAAAATCCGCTTTATTTATCGTTTTCTGTGTTATGCCTTTTCAAGTTCTATGCCCTTTGTCTGTCCACAGAAGCCCAAATACAAAGTCTAAGGCTGTGGGCTTTGTGAACAGCTTTGGCCAATAGTTAGTATGCAGAACCATTCCCCACTAATGCTCAAATTCTCCCTCCCAGAGTCCTTGGGGAGGGAGAGGGGATGTCTAATTCTCCCGTGACAAGAGAATCAAACTGCAAAACTGATGGATAAGTCTCTGGTACATGCAGTTCCCTCTGCCATATACCAACTGTAGGCAAGCTAGGAACACGCACACACACACAGATGTAAACTTTTCACACATTTAACTGTAGGCTTGCTGAACTACTGCTGCACTTTTACTCCATACTCTAGAGGAAGTGCCGGATAACAGTGATGTTTTCCTCTGTAGCCTTCAAAGTTATAAGAAATTATATGCATACATGTACTTCCCCCTCAGAAGAAAATGTGAGCACTACATACTTTATTTAATGTGCACACAAATACATAAGTAGACATTTGTGGATACTCACTCACAGTAGTGCATAAAATACAATGGCACTCCACCCACCTGAGCTTTTCATGCTTTGTTCACATGTGCCTATTAATGGCCAAGTGCTGTCTGCCTCCCTGTCTCTCTTTCCTCTTTTCTAAGTTCAGGCTTGTTCTGTACCTCTGACTCACAACCTCCTCTCAGTCTACTCCATCACTTTTGTTTCATAACTTCAACAGTCTATCTCCGGAGGTACCTTCTCTTCAAAAATAGTTCCTCACTTTTTTTATATTCAATTTCTAATATTTAATTTCACTTGTCCTCATCAGCTGATCACGTTTCATTGTCCTTTTCACCACTACAGACCTCAATCTCTGCATTCTCTCTCCATTCTCTCTCCAAGTTTTTTAATCCCTAGTTTTTAGTTCTTTGATCCTCCCCCTTGCATTTCCTTCCTCCCTCTGCTGCCTGTGTTTGTGCCCAGACATCTTTCTGTCTCACTCTCACTTTGCTCCCCAAACCTTACCTTCCCTGCCTCTTTCCCTCCCATGCCATCCCCATCCACCCAGGCCCTCCAGTCTCTCTTTCTCCACCAAGAAGACAATGCTTCCTAGGCAGATCCCCTGGTTACTCTAGCCAGGAGATTAGGGGCCCTCCTCTGGGAGAAGACGTTGCAGTAACCATGGAGGTGGCCTCTGGGGCTTATCACTGCCCTAGTATTTATTTTGGTTCTTAAAAGGTGAATGCACATGCAGGGATGGTCTTGGGACTACACCAAAGGATAATCTGATCACAGTGGATGCTCTCTTGCTCCCTCCTTTCTTTTCACCTCTGTCTCTGCACCCAACTGACCCTAAGCCCCCATGGATGCTTAGGGATACAGTGGTCCCTTTAAGCCCTGTGCCAGACCTCTCGTAAAACAATGAGGCCCTCACATGGGGCCCTGTAGGGTCTCTGGGTCCTAGACAACAAGGTTAGAGGTGAGGAGGACTAGGCCATGGAGAGAAGAGGAAGAGAATGGGGGAAGGAGCCAGGGATAATCTGTAGTGTTGTCTAAGCCTGCAGAAATAGTAAATTTAACATAGCGACTAAACACATATGGCACTACTGGGAGAACCTCAGTAAAGAGACCAACTCACAAGAACAAAAGTGTAGAGTAAGCTCAATAGCACTGAAATATATATAGGCCATTAAGGTAAAATAAACCAATTAAAATGACCATATTTCTTAAGTAATTGCAAAAATCATCTACCTACATACCTACCTTCTGATCTATCCACTTACCAACCCACACACCTATCTACCTATTTTAATCAAAAATCATTACCCTGACATTTAATGTACACATGCACTAGCTTATCATTACTACCCCCCACACTGACCTAGTTACTGTTGTTACTGTGGGCTGGAAGAGCGGTGGGTTGGAAGCAGTGGGCAGCTAGAATACTGAGGGTTCAACACTTTGAATACACACTGCCTCGCTATTGCTATTTGCAGCGGTGTTAGTACAGTGCATACTGTGGGCGTGTGAAAAAGGTCCCTTTCTAAGCCCATTCAGAAGAATATATTCCTTCTCAATCCCTGTTCAAAGAGAAAATATGTAACATACTCCTACATACAAGATCTCTACTTCTTAAGCGCTGAACGTATTCTCTGACATTACTTTGTATCTTTTTCCAGTCTTTGAAAGTTGGCCGTGCCTACAAGTTCAATATTGATCTTTGACAGGTAGCCACAAGGCTGCAGCAGTACCTACCGGCCTGATTTGTGGTGATGTTGACTGTAGAGAACTGAGGTGTATAGGGGCTCTTGTTGGAAACCCCATTGACTGCCTGGATCTCGAAGCTGTACTGTGTGTGTGCTTGTAGGTTACGAACAGCCACGCGACGCTGGGTTAGGCCCAGGTGGCGTGGCGAGATGTCAACGTTGTCGTCACACCGAGAGCACATTCCCCGTTCAGGCAGACACTTCTTACAGATGACGTTGTAGAAGATGTCATCCCGGCCACCCAAGTCACGCGGGTCACTCCATTCCAGCACAAGCGAGGTTTCGTTCACACTGGAGATGACACTGCGTGGTGCCGAAGGAACAGCTGCAAAGGGGAAGTAAGCATGGATGAGAAGAGGAAAGGTTTGGAATGAGGATAATTTAATCTCCATGCACAATGGATGTAAATAAATTTGTCTTGGTGACAGTACAGAGACACCCTGACAATAGACAGAGATGCATATTGCAAAACACCGTTTACATATCATTATACACACATACCTTCATTATTCCACAATTCAAGAATTTTCCATGTGCTGTGGTATTAGTACATTTTTCATGCATTAACTAGAACGTTTTCCCCCTTCCACATAACAAGAGGCTGTTCCAGCAGTTCTTCAGAGAAAAAGGAGGACAAGAGTTCAAATTTGAATTGTATGCTCATTTCCACCGTGTCTGTGTGTATGTGTGAAGTGCTGGGGGGGACGAGTGAGACAAACTATTGGCAGAGCTTTAGCAATTCTTATCCAATTACCGGAGCCTTATCTCTCACTGCACTGTGGGAGAATCAGCCCCACACTCTTCTTCTCTCTTCACCAGGGAATGAATTAACTCATATTTGCGTTTGTGTGAGTTTGCTCTTAACGAAGGCACTGCTACTAGAGATAATTGTCCACTGTCTGTATAGTTGTGGCAGCACTGAGAACAGATAGATTTTACAGAGAGGCAGGTGGGATGCGGGTTTGGATAAAGTTCTGTATAACGTTGGGAAAGCAAGCAGACTTGTTTGCCATCCGTGTGGTATGTTGAGAACATACTCCTGAGGGATCACCTACTGAGTGCATAATTCAAGGAAGTCTGGGAGAACATTTACCACACAGTCAAGACTTCTGTTTTATGACTACCAATACATTTGATTACTGTCTGAAGATGAGGTATAAACCCATTTCTGTTTTTTTTTTGGGAACAAGAACATGCAAGAGTTGTTGTTTGGTGTTCAAAAGGATTTCAATAACAGAATTTTAGATTATCACTATGACTTTCAAACAAGCTGATGTTATACAGTCAGCTGAAAGCAGTCTGTACTTACTGGTGCAAGGGGAGTCGGGAGAATCAGTGTCTGAGCGGTAGTAACCGTTTCGACAGGAGCAAACGCTGGATGCTCCTGAGCTGGCGCGGCTGTTGGCTGGACAGGGCAAGCAGAAGCTGTCTCCCTGTTTGGACTTGAAGGTGCCAGGGCTGCAAGCTGATGGCAAAAGAGAGACAAATGAGACAGAAAAGAGATGTTAACACTGGATTTAATGGTTTAGGAAGTAGCCATGGAGGACTTTATATAACAATTTATTTTTGTTGCTAAATTTATATGGCCAGTAGGCCACTCTCATTTTGGAATGAAAATGCAAAATTTTACTTTTATTAATCTCTAGTTCCGGTGTGCATCCACAAAAGGGTGCAAAAATATTAATATTCATTTTATGGCTATAAGGTTTGCATTTAAAACACTGTTCCAGCTCCCTAGTAAAAATTACTAAAACGCCTTATTTGATGTGTTTAGCATGTGTTTGTTTGTGTACATGTGTGCGTGTGCCCATGATTTGGTTTTGTCCCTTCAACCCCACATATTCCCTTTTCCCTAGCTGTTTGCATAAACCCATGCTCACATGACGAGACTGTCATCATAAATTACATACACCAACCTCAGAGCCAAAACGCTGGCATGTCGCTTTCATCTGAATTCAGTCTTTTACCAAATACATTTAAGTACACACAGACAATCAGAGAGGCACACAACACATGCTGATGTGTACACAAACATTGATCTGTGCACGACTGTGCTCTTTGTTAGTATGTCTGCATCCCTCTGTCTTTGAGATCACTCCCTGCACAGACCAACACAATACTCCCTTCAACATAGTTTTACCTAAACTAGCTCATTGGTGAAGCCTAGTTAATCAGATGAAAACACTGTCAGCCTTTGTCAATGCCCTATCTCCATTTATAGCAGCTGCTGTTGTTTATAACTCAGGTGATAAGGTGCAGACTTTCAGGGAAGCACTGACAGCGGCACTGTGATCTAGAACACTTTGGCAGGCTCCATATCTTTGATAAACTGTCTCGTTAAAAGATGAATGAGTTTGTCGCAGTGCTTAATAAAAAAGACGAGAGCAGGTGAGACAGGCAAACTTTACAGGGGCCAGTTGATTAGCTGACCCACTAGTGCGTTAGCTCATCAGTGTCAAGGACACACTGCTGTGTTTGTCCCCCTGAATGATAATTATCACCATAGCTCCTACATTTGTATTTCACTCCCTGTTGAAAACAACCAAGGTTGGAGGTCAAATCTAGAGCAGACCACTTCCTGCTCCTGCTGTTTTCTCGTTTTTGAACGTTCAATATTAGCACAAAACCACCAGTTGACTGCGCTGTGTACATTAGTACTGAGTGTATTTGTTCTTCCACCATTAATCAGAGTCATCCACACCAGTGGCTAACAGGAAGTACTGCTCAATAAACAGATAAGAAATGACCTCGAGTTTTACCAGGTGGGAGAACAGGTTCTTCGATTTGGTATCGTGGCCCATGCAAGTTCTTTTAAGTTCACACAACAAAAAGTAAACTACAAGCAATTTTTCAACTCACAGGGGATGAGAGTATTGGTTGTTGAACATGTTAGCCTAACGAAAGAGGCTGAGGGAGCATTCCCATTAAAATAAACTTTTTTTAAGGGAAGGGCTAAAAGTGCTGATCAATCACTTCCAGTGAGTAAAGGGGTCATCCTCTTCCTTTCATCCATCCATTTTCCCCTCAGAGGAACCACTAAAGAATAAGAAAGAAAGAAAGACAAGGGGCTAGAGAAAAAGGGAGGGAGAGATGGAAGAGGTGGAGGCATAGAAAATGCTAATCCTGCAGGCACTTTTCCCCCCTCTTCTCCACTCCCCTGTGTCTTATCCTCTCATGCAGAACATAGAGCTTAAGGAACTGATTAGAATGTATGCTGAAATTGGAAAGTGTGGAGCATGAAGAAAAAAGGAAAGAATATTGGGGGTTAAAAAAAGCAAATTAGTGGAAAGGCAAAAAGAGGCTCATCGATTAATATTAATGCAGACATTCTTACTGTAACTTCGTGGTGGCGTATTAATGAGAGCAACGGCCTTCAAATTAGGAAGGAATGGCAGAAGGAGAGGTAAAGACTAGTACAGAGAAAGGGAGTGCAATGGTGGTGTAGCTGGAGGAGATACAGCATGTTGGAACCAGGACAGAAAAGCAGAGAAAGGAAGAGTCACGGCGAATAGATGATAAAAGATGAGTACAGAGTAAAATAGGGGGAAAGGAGAAAAAAGCAGAGTGGACCTGAAGAAAGGTGATGTGAGAAGAAGAGAGGGAGATTTATCCCTTGTGGTTTCCAGTGAAGCTTGATTAGAGAACATTTTATCAGGGCCCAGTCACCAGGGCTTTAACCTTGAGCTGCCAGGAACAAACAAATTAGTTTTTAACCACACACACACACCATGCTTTAGATTTACTATGCTCTCTCTCTCTTTCTCTCCCACATACTAACGCGCACACGCACGCACGCACGCACGCACACACACACACACACACAAACATACACACTCTCCTTCTAAAGGTGAGCACATATTCAATATTTAGGGTCTGCCAAAAGGTGCCAGTGTAAACTATCCGCCCCTTCCCTGCCTGATCACCAGTTTGGGTACTGAACAAAAGGTCTCCTTAGCATCTCTCTGCTATGAGAAGAAGAATGAGCCCTCAGAACCCAGGCAGGCAATGATGACATACAAACCATGCATAAACTTTACATCCAAAGACACCTCAAAATTAACACTGCTGATCAATGGCCCTGCCAGCTCCCCTCTTCACTCTCTCTCTCATCCTGCTGTCTCCATTTGACCTATGCATGACCTAAGCCTAATTTTACGCTCCTATACCCCTCAACACATGCATATTTTCCATTTATCCTTCCCTCTCCTCTTGCTGTCACCTGCACTCCATTTAAGCTGAGACCTTGCTGTTTAAATTCACCTTGCTCTCAACATCTGTGAACCCATCATGTTTTCCATCAGACCCGAAACCATCATAGGGCCTCCCAACTCTCAGAAACAGACAGCCTCCACTGCATTTCCATTTATTTAGCTACCAGCTGCCAGGTAAAACTGAGGTCAGAGGAGTGAACAGTCACCTGCTGACAGTGTCATCTAGTGTGTATTATTCTGCCATGTAGTCACTGGATTAATGTGTCAAAGAATACAAAGCAGATAAATGGCTCATAATAACATGGCAGCTGGATAATCTAGAGACGGAGGCTGTAACCTGTAGCTGAAACAATACTAATTCAATCTCCAACAATCAGTGTGTCCACAACAGTCATGTGTCCAGATGAAGTGTCCTTCAGCAAAACTTTGACCCCCTTCCTACTCCCTTCCTACTCACTCATTGTAATTCACTCTGCATAGAACCATCAGATACTACTTGCCTAAAATGCAAATGTAACTTTCTCGGCAGTAATAATGTGATACATTATTGATCGCCAAAGGGAAATACCCCCCAGCCCCACCATCATCTTCCAGGAAGATACGATTGTGAAATAAGCTACAAAATAGCACACTATTCTGTAGATTTAGAAAGATTTGTTGACTTGCGATTGGTCAGTTCAGCAGCTAACATATGGATTGAACCTTGTGTGCCCTGGATTAGTCCTTCATCATAAACACTGAGTCATAAAATCCTGGAATGACCTAGAAAATCTGTTGTGAAAACACTCACCTTGACATTGGGTATCCTTCATGGCTGGTTCAAAACCAGCTGAGCAGGTGCAGGCTCCTACAGGAACCATCCACTCGCCATCTCCGTTACAATAAAGCTTCAGCGGCACGGACACCTCCAGGGCGTTTGGGACACAAGTTCCCGGCGCAATGACCAGGGATGTTGCCTCAGCCCCAGTTGCTGTCTCTGGGAAAACAGCAAAGTTGGCAATGGTGGTGGAGCACTTCTTGTAAAAGACTCGCACTGAGATGAGTGACATGCAAGCACCAAGGTCCTGGAAGGCCAAGTAGAACCCAGCTTTGGACAGTGGCCCGAAACTTCGTACTTTTGTGTTTACACGTCCAGACTCGAGCATGGAAAAGCTCTCATCTGGGGCAATAGTGTCCACCTTCACATAAGGGTTTTCCATCCAGAAAGGGCTGGTGGCTGTGGCTGAGTCTGAGTCAGACTCATAGTAGAAGAGGTTGAAGGTCTCTTTGCAGGAACCTGGGATGTTAGGAATGCTGTTGCAATCGCGCACTGTGAATTTCATCTCCACATATACACGCAGCACATCCTTCCGTGGGATGAAGTCACTGCGTAGCCAGTTATTCTGGTTGAGCTCACGAACATTGCAGACTTGGTATGTCCGGATAGGGTTCATGGCATCATCGTATCCACTCACCTCTTCCCACTGAAAAGTAAGTAGAAGACAAAGAGAAACAGGTTAGAGGCTGTAAATTTTTGTTGATAGATAAATACTAGACATCATGTTTGTCTGGTTTCTGGAATGCATGTAAAATGTCACCCATTTCAGCACACCTTGCTACATTCAGTTATGTTGCATGATAAAAAAAAGAATGAAAGAAACAGGGCAGATGTTAGGACCAAGCGAGAAAGAAGCTTTTGGGATATTACATTCCTTTGGCTTCACTATGCTACGCCTTTCATCTCTGGTTAGTGTAGCGAAAAGCCAGGGATGTGGACTGCCAATTCATCACAATTACAGCAACCTGTCACCTCCTCGCCACAGAGTCACCACCGCGTGTTTACCTCATATCTGTTTGGAAGTAGCAGCCACATTGCTTCACAACCAATTACGCTTCAATTACAGAGCAATGATCGTAACGTCCTCTAATAAAGACGGGGGAAAGGCGCCGTTTAACCTTCATGCTTTTCTGTTTTTACACTCCTCTACATCTTTCAATGCTAACACAGTACCCAGGGGGTGAATTACTGTGGATAAAATGGGATTAAATTTTCTAAACTTTGATTACCAGCTTCATTAAATGAGCACAAGAAAACTAAACTGTAAAAGCTTTGCTGTAAAACACTGTAATCTAATGCATTTTTCAATCTCAAATGAGGACACCACGATTAAATCATTTCACTTCAAATAGCGATTCCTGTGTGTATAATATATCTTTGTGCATGTGCGTGTGTGCTAAGGGATCTGCTCCCCTTTCCTACCAGACAGAGTGCATTTATTTTTTAGCTAAGCCAGGCAAAGTTTATTTGCATAGCGCCTTTCTAATATAAAGGCAATTCAAAGTGTTTTGCATAAGACATGGCAATGTATTAAAGCATTTAAAAGACAACAAGGAGAAAAAGTTAAATAGAACAAAATAAAACTAGACAAAGGAATAAAAGTTATAGTGCAGCTTTAGCTAAAACTCTGTACTACTCATTGCACTTGCTACCTAAATCCATGAGACTGAACCTGTGACCTTCTGATTACAGGATGGTCTTTCACATCACTCAGCCCCCTGCCACCCTAAAAGACTAAAATACTAAAGTCTTAAATGCCAAGACACATCTATAACAAAATTAAATGTCGGTTGCACTCTCTGGACTGGGGTTTGCTGCGGCACATTTAACTGTCTCGAAACTCTGGCATAAAGGCACCAATTTGTTCTCCAGAACCAGTTGTTTCCATCTAAGCTCTGAGCATCTTAATTAAGGCTGTGATATGGATGTGGTAGAGACAAGGCTATTCATCCAAGACCCTGGAGGCCATGATGAAGAGAGGGAGAATGGGCGTAGCTCGACTGTAGCATTACAACGATGGCCCGACGAGAGCAGGAGGAAGCAACTAAAGGCAATCGATAATCACCAGCCAGGTCAATGGGATGGCTAAAAGCATGATGTGTCAATGGGTATTTAGTTTAGGGTGATAAATCACCCACTGCAAAAGAGCAATACAGCCAAGTGTTTGTGGGTGTGTGTATGAGGTTGTGTGTTTTCTTAAATGCACTTGTGTGAGTCCGTCTGCCTGAGTCTGTACTTGCACTGTGTGTTTGTTTGTATTAGTATTATGTATGTGTAGGTGTGAGACATGCACCAGTGGCCAAACATTCTGAGTGCCTGCTTACCAAGCCTGAATGAATTAAGTAGGTCATGCGAAAAAGGGTCAAGTTTCTTGGCATTGATTTCCAACAAGATGAATCGTTATGCAAGATTGGCGATCCACTCCACTTTCTCTTTGTCCTTTCCAATCAAAGCTTTGAATTTTACTTTTAGATGGCAATGAACAATGATTCTGTGATGCCATCCTTGGACGTCCAAAGCCCCCCTGGACCTATATATTTTGCAATATTTTGGCAAAACTCTTTGGAACAAACAACAGATCTGAATAGAGAACGGAGAAGTAGGTTGGCCTGCCGGAGTTCTTTAAGACGTTTTATTGGACATTTTTATAGCTTTTTTCAGTCTTTGAGTTTAGGTGAAGTCAAGGTGAACATTAACTGTTAGCAGCCTTGATTACAACTCAGATAAACTAGTAGTATTAGCTTTAGGTTAATGTTGTTATGTTGTGCTGCTGCTGCTGCTGCTGCTCCAACAAACTCTAGTACTAGCAATTAGTGTGCTTTTATTTTTCTTTGTTGTTAGTATTGATAAGCTCTATGGGGCTATTTTTAAGGACATTCTAGTTTGTTCATAACATGTTTAAGCATGCTGGGGGTCTGTGAAGCAGACAGTGACACACTAAAAATAGTTATTATCTCCACAAGCTAACTAACTTTGTTTATTGTTATCAGTGTATGGTTATACAAAAACCCTGTGGGTGCCATTCCAGGTATGTGGGGAGCCCCGCTATAAAGTGGAATTCCCCTTTCATTGCCCACCTGTTTTGTAAGATAAATGATACGGCATATAGACAGACACACACAATACAGGAAAACACACACACACACACACACACCTTTACACAGTCATGCATCATGCACAGATGCCCCAGGCTATACAGAAAGATACAGATAGTGAGTCTAAGAAATCCAAAAATTCCAAAGTGCAGACACAGAGGCAAGAATAAGATGAAAGAATACATGTACACATATGCATGTGTGTATAGTGCCTTGCACATATCAATAATTGAATGTGCTCTTACAGATACTCATTCACAAATGTCTTTGGCACCTAGGTTTTACACAAAGAGTGGTGGTGTTTATTGTAGCACCTATAGGCCTCTGGATTCACTGTCACAAATGGAACAGCTTATGTTCCCCTCTGTGTAGCTTTATGTCAGTTGCTTTATCTGTATGTGTTGTGCAACACTCAGAAGCAAGACAGAGATGCTGTGACTCAGACTTTGCTGGAAAGTATCCCTGAAAGAGTGTGTGTAGTCAGTTTGTGAGTGGGCCTATGAGTTTTTCTCAGAAATTGATTTTTTTCCCCCTCTGTATGCTGTCGCCCTCTCTCTGTATGGACATTTCTCTGGATTTTACTTAATCTCAGTCTCACTGCTTTCCCCCTCACTTCCAGCTCTCTCAGTATGTTGTTTTGTTTGTGCTCTCAGCCACTTTATCGGTTCCTCTTAAACAATACCAGAATGTACAGGTACAGGCTGCCACGTTCCCATTGCAAAAGCATATAAATAAACACATACAATACATTGTGAATAAAGACACAAACAAGACAACAGGGATGATTGATTTTTTTTGTGTGTAAGAGAAAAATAAAAGGAGAGAAAACATAAAGGGTAGAAAGATAACTCAGGGACAACCACCGTCTGTGGCACATTCTGCTGTCAAAAAAAGGCAGGGGAGAGACTCATCTCCAGTCTTTTGGTTGGTAATGTGGGAAATGTGTAGTGCAAAAGGCTCTGCACTGTATGTATATCTCTTGAAAAGGAGCATCTGTTGTGGCTTCGCCTAGAAACGAAACGGGGAGGTGTCGCTCTGCCTTTTTGCATGGGACCGGTGGGAGCATCGCTGCTGCATTGTATCTTAATGAGGAGGAGGGGGACAGAGAGAGGCAAAGGAAGATGGACGGATGGGAGGGGCAAAGGAGGAGCAAAGGAGGCCACGAAAGGCAGTGTGGGGGGGTTGTCCTACTGATTGTTGCAGCTGAGGTGGCTAGTGTGTCTGACTTCATTAGTGCTTAGTTAATTGGAAGTAATGGAAGGGGTAAATAAGGATGGTGGGATACTTCCAACAGCTGGGATGGAATCTCCCTGCAAGTGCATTGAGGTAAAAACTAAATATAAAAAATGGGGGCCCACCTTTCAAAACACAAGGGCCAAGTTAGAGGGCCACACAAAGGGGAAGGGAGGAGTGCTGGGGGTCTTTGAAGTATAGCTGGGGAGGGGTCAAGACTCTTTTTGCTCCTCTTTCTGCTATTGTGGAGACCACATGGGAAAGCAAGATGAGGCTGTCACTGGCACTTTGTGTGTGGTAGATTTTGATGCCTGGATGTGCAATGGGTCAACGCCAACACCCTTTTTAGTGTTTAAAAAGTTAGTTCATGAGGAAACTGCACTGAAAAGTGCACTGAGGCGGTCTGTGACTGGGCGGGTCAGTGAAATGGGATTGCTGTGTATCTTTTTCTGCTTGCTAAAAAGTACCTCCTGTTGAATCCTAAAACATATCTTGTTGAGTGATATGCTTATGAAGGTGTACAGGACCAGGTGGCCTGCAGACCAACTGTGTGTAGAGCAACATGCATACACTCAACACTGAATGTAATCCTTTAATAAAAGTATAGAGTCAAAGTTACAGTCCACACATATATATGTATTTGACAAAGCATTGAAATTCCAAAGAAAAAAATCCAGCAGTTACGTTGGGTACACAATATTCTCTTCTACCATCTGTGTCTTTATTAATAAATCAGTCTTACTTTACATAAACACACAAAGGCACACAAACACACACTACAGATTAAACTCACCCCGGTTTCAGGGTGTGCAGTCCAGGCTAATTCTGTCGTGGCCCACTTCGTGTCCATCAGCGTCTCTGTAAACGGAAGCAGAGAGAACACAACAAGGTCAGACAAAGAGGAATAGGGTGACAGAGGTGATCAGTAGAACTTGCAATAATTTTACAACAATGTCATAAAACTTGTGCCGCGCAAGGGATAAGGCGCTTTGACCAAAGTTGTTCTCAGATAACTGGGTGAATAACTCAGTGACAGAAAACGCGGGCTTAGAGAGATATTAAATTGAATTGCACAAAGAAGTGCCGCATGTCTGTGTGCAGCAGGAAGACCAAGAGACAGTGGGAGAGTGAGACAGAAATCTAGGTGGGTGATCTGTGAGGTATTGTGTGACATTTTATTGCGGCTCCTTGTCTGGCTAATTAGTCTCAATTAGACGTTTGCTTTTATACAGGGGAAAGGAAAGAACGGTGAGTCTCGCAGTGAAACAGTTCCGCTTCCCACAGGGCACTGTGACACACACACTTGATAACACACACACACATACAGTGAGTAACAGGTTGTAAAATTCCACAAGATATATAACCCAACAGAAGGCTTGAATGGAGAAGGGGGTTGTAAAGTTAGGTGTCACAAAGGAGGCGCTCTTGAGCGGAACAGAGGTCAATACACTTCAATTGGATTCACTTTCTGTCAATACTTGAACACATACACACTTCGCATTTACCTTGTTTTTACGCTTGTCACTTGGCAAACTGAGAAAGGCACATACATCATATACACGGTACACAAAATGGTGGACAAAATCCCTTTCCTCCTTTCCACTTTCCACTCTCTACTGGCAAAGGTGCCGGCTTTGTGAGAGCAGAGAAGGAAGACTATAAATGTCGGGTCTTTTACTACCTGGCGCTCAAGGCACAGTATGCAGCCACCATTATTATCTCAACCACTGTGCTGTTCTACAAGATAGTAAAAGATGATGAAACGGCACTACCAGGAAGTGAGCATGCACTGTCCCTGGTCATGGAAGCAAGTGTGAGATGTTCCATTTTTCCTGCCTCAGCTGAAGGGGATGAACCTGAAGAAGTCTTTCAGCCTACTTTGCTACTCTTTCACTGCCTATGTGTCCTTCTTTCATCTATTTATTTTTTTTGCCTGCTAAGCTGACAGGAAACGAGACTTGGGAGCAGAATAAAAGGCTAAACCCCAGGATTTCACCATCCCTTCTCCAAATGCCACCACTGCTGCATTCAGGAGCAATAGTGGTGACCCTCGAACTCAAAGACCCCTTGTGAATTATGTCTAGCTCTGTAGAGATGGCGTGCTCCCCCGGCTGGGAATTCCCATTGAATTCCACCCCCTCATGCTTTGAGTGACAGTGTCTCTGACGTGTGTGTGCCTATTACACTGGTGAGAAAACCTGACTTCCAAGAGATTTCCTGCCAAACGGAGATATCCTCCCGTGCAAAAAACAAATGCAATCAGATTTCAAATGTAGTTTTGGCTTGTTGCCCTCAGGCGAAATGGTCTGGAAGCTTCACTGTGAGCCAGTTCACGCAGTGAGAACTGTCTCTCTGGGAGTGGCTCTGGGAGCTGAAGTGAATATCATGTACTAGCATAGGGTCAAATCCAGCTTGCAACCCTTGTCACAAACAATCCATTCCCCTTCCTCCCTCATCAGTCTCTCCAATATTCTCTCTGTGCTGATAATGGAAATGCTTTAGAACAGGTCTGCTTTTGCAGAGAGCTTTCTTTTTTAACCAGATGCAAAGAGCCACATTTGTCAATTGAGCAAATAAGGCCCTACTAGTATTTTCATCTCATAAACTGTGTCAGTGCTTATTAGCTGCGGGACTTCCCCTGACTCAAATCATGACAGTGTGGGATTTGGGACCTGTTACCTACAGCTACGCAGGTGTGATGAAAATTATACACTTCCACTGCATGGTGTTTATTGTTATGACTGGGCCGTGTGTATTAGCTTGTCATTAGAGCTGACCTTGCTGAAATGACAACAGGGTGGACAATGATCGACAGAGATGAGAGAGAAAGACCGAGAGATGGGGAGCAGAAAAAGAAATATGCAAAACACACACACAGCTGTACAGTCTGACTCAGTGATTTAGACAGTGGGTCATTTGGGAGTGCATGTGCAGCAGTAACCCTTCCCTTCTCGATGCATCTGCATTGTTTAGCCTCTGTGCTTGTGTGTGTGTGTGTGTGTGTGTGCCTGTGTTGGAAGGTAATTGTGTGTGTTTGGTGCAAAGCCCTGTATTGTGCCCAAAGTGGAGCACCAATCCTGAGTCAATGGGCCAGAGCAAAAGCACTGAATGACCTCGACCTAACCCGGCCACTCCCTCTCGGTCAGCGTGTATGTGAATGAGGTGGCTGTTACGCTCATATGTCTCTGCACACCATGTTTATATGTGTTTATATAAAACACCGGACAATAGAAGTGCACTGCAATATTCATGACTGTACAGCAAATTCAGACACCTGCACAGTCACAGAAAACACACGCACACGAATACACACACACACACACAAAGGAAACAAAACAAACCTGGAAAATAAAGTGCTATATGCCCCCACACAATGCAACCATTTTTGTATGCCAAACCCATAAACCCGTGCTTTATGGACGATAAAGGATGAGAGAGAGGCAGAGTAAGACAGATTAAAGAGAGAAAGGTATTTTTTAAAGCAGCAACCTCTGAAAGCTTCTAAGACTAGCTGGCAGCTTGCCTAATGGGCCCGGTTGAGAGACAGAAAACGAAAAATAGGCGGAAAGAAAACCAGAAGGACGAGTTGACGGAGAAACAACCACTATGTGACTATAAGACCCTCCCCTGTACACAGAAAGCGCTCTTCTTTGCATTTTTGCTCTATACGTTTCATTTGACTCGTTCATATCCTGAAAGTGTAAAATGAGAGAAGGAAATATTGTACTTTGCAGGGGGGAAAGAGCAAACAGAGTAAATTAGGCAAATGAACATGCAATTTACTGCTGTAAAACACACACACACACACACACACACATATACACACACAGAGCGAGTGAGAGTAAAGCATGCAGATGTGAGAGGTAGCACTGGATCAGGATACACAGATGCACAGGGCTGTTTAATCCATCTTCCTTGCATGCACTCTCATTTTTTCTCATTCATTTCCAATCTATTTCTCATCATCCCTGTGAAATGATGTATATAATTCCCTGTTGTTTCCTTTCTCCACCTCTTTTTCTTTCCCCTTTTTATCACTCAATTTCTCTCTTTACCCTCCACTGGGAAGTGTAGATTTGACCTCTTTTCGTTTTTCTTTTTCCTCTTTCTCTTCTCTCCTCGTTTTCTTGCCGATCTCTATTTCTGTGCTTGTGTTTTCACGCTGTGCTGTGATGGATGTGACGCTCGGTGTACAGGGGAATTTCAACCTCCCACTGCTTACGAAAACTATTCAATTAGCATGTTGCTGTTTGAGTAACCTGAGGACTGCTTTAGTAAAGTGTTATTTATGATATAGGTCAAATGCACCTGGGATTAGCATAACAAACATGAGGGACAATAGCAGTAACATTTGTTTTCTCTACAAACTCTGACTGTGTGAGAAAAATTGCAGAAATACAAACAGGCTTGAGAGATGCTATGCAGGCAAATACATGTGCGCACGCACATATACACACATGCATGCACACACGCTAAACCAGCCCCTACACTCTAATCCCGTAATGACAGGGCAGGCCTAATAACAGGGGAGGGCACTGAAGCATTTGTCCCTATGGCCGCATCCAACACACACTAACATGCACACACACAGCACCCAGAGTTAGAAGCCTCTTAAAATATTTCTTTGTTCAAACAAGCAGACTTCTTAAAAGAAAGAAAAAAGAGAGGGAGGGAAGGAGGAAAGGGGAAGAAAGGCTATTATTGAGAGAGAGGAATGTGCAGTCGTTTCACAGGGCAAAGTCCCCAGGTTGCAAAGAGCAGACAGGTGAGGGATTTAGTTTGGATCTTGCTGCGACTACTTTGAGCTGTTTTGCATGCTCGTCTTTGTCAGCGTGACCCCGTCAGATGACAACTGAAAGATAACTTAACCGAGCCTCGAGTGAGTTCAAAGATATGGCTCAACAACCTTGGAAAAAGAGCTATCTTTCTAATGTTAACCAAAAGCGTTTTACTGATGTAATAGCTTCCTGTTAGCTTGTTTTCCTGCTATAAGTGGAAAACAAAATGGCTTCCCCCCCATGCTAGCATTAACTGCTGTATTAATGAAACATGATGACAACAGGATTTTGTTTTCAGCCAGGAAAAGTAATGAAGAAAAAACTTCAAACCCCCTAATGACTACTTCCCCGAAATCTTTCCCTTCAGGCTTGCCACTAGTTAATTATCTTCTCCCCACCTCTTCTCTGAGTTGCTTTTGTTGTATTCTCCTACAGTCAAACAGACCAAGCACATGGCAACCTGGCATGGGGTAGACACTCCATTAAAATACTATGCTGTCTGGTTGCCAAACACTTGAGCCTGTGTTTCGCCACAGAAACAGTGAAATGTGTCAACATTGGGAGTGAGGACCCCACGCTCAACTTATTAGCGCTATTAGCCTGATTGCTTTGTGTGCTATCTTTGTTGGCTCTGCTTTTGTCATCTAACAGGAAGTAAAGGCAGGGAAAGAGGAAGAGAAATTCAGAAAAACAGAGCAGGAGTAGAGATGCTATTGAAATTCAAATTGTCCAGGCAGCCTTTTTGCTTTTGTGCAGGGCCAGAGTGCGATGATTAGGAGAAGTCCCCTCCATTTTATGGCGAGACCTCCCCTTCAGCACCCACACACATACACACACACACTCACACTAATGTGACACACAGTCACGGTAATTGGTTGCTGCGACATGGACAGGCCAAGGAGGTGATTCCTCTGTGGAATTCCTGAACGGACTGGCCTCCCATGACAAAACCACCCCCTCCCCATCAGCACACACACATACACACACACATTCTTCATCCTGCTACCACTCTCTGTCAGTCATCCCACAATGGCTGTCACACAAGAGGTTTGTCCTGTGTGTCTGCTAACAGGGTTACGC